CAGGGCCAAATAGGAAGGTAGACAACCTTGGCAGAACCCCTCAAAATGACGCTTTGTAGTCATTCTGCATTGCATCTGTGCCCTGCCTGTTGTGGACATGTTAAAGTAATCTGGGATGTAATATAGGCATTATTGTTTAGGGTAATCTCACAACACATTAATCAAGTGGTGGGTTCCTTTGGGGAGGGTAGAGCTACTTTCACCATTTTACATGCAATGTATGAATGTAAATACAGATTTACAGTCCAAGCAGTGCAGTCAACTCCATTTAGCCGCAGGCTTGAGTATAAAATGTTCACGGTGTACAGGCAGTGAAATCCTAGATAATGTCTATTCTTCTCGTATCTCAAGTGAACACAGGACTACTAAAGAATATAGACTGTTTTAACCTCCTGCAGTAAAGTGAAATCACTTAAATATATCTGAACGCTCCCATTATGCCCATTTCATAGAAGTGAGGTTTAAGCGATTGCCAGATGTTATACCCTCCTGAGTTTCCAGGCTTTTCTGGTCCTGTATATTCTTCCCGTTTTCTGCCACCCGTCGGTCTGTAAAGAATATCACGCTGGTGGTGGGACTGCTGTGAGCTTGTGAACCCCTGGCACTGTGCTTGCAGTTCCCTGGGGCACGAAGGTAAACCCAGCCCAGGAAAGCTCTTGGGGATCTGTCCTGATGGGGAAGACGGTAGAAAAATGTCTTTGGCAAGTTCTTTACAGCTCTTTGTGTTGCTCTTCCATGAAGAAAACCCCTGTGCCGTGGTCTGCCAGGGCTTCGTGTGTAGATAACGGATGCCGCTAGGTTTACTCAACTATTTTTTTTTTTTTTGGGCTGCTTCTGTGTTAAAACAGGCCTCTACAGTGCCTTTTTATGTGGAAATCTTGTAGCTGGGTGTGGTGGGGAAGCCGCTGGGTGACTCATGCTGCAGGGAATTCCCTGATGAATTAGAGTATTTTTACTTCTGGACTTGTGCGCAGTTTCCTTTAAGGCCGGAGCGAGTGGCTGATAAGAGCAGACTACAAAGGCCCATTCACCGTTCAGCTGCCGCCTGTTAAAAGAGGGTGTTTATGCTTTGCCGAGCTGAAAATCCACCCCACGCAACGCGGTAGGTTGATGGTATTTTCGTCATTAGCGATCCCAGGTGCTCCCGAGTGTCACAGCGCCCGGGGAGGGAGGATGGGGGGGAGGGAAAAACCAACAAACCAACAAGCCAGGCTGAAGAGGGAGGGTGGTGAAGTGCACCCAGAGCCCGGGATGGCTATAAATAACAGCCGTCGGTGTGTAAATGTCAGGCTTCCTGACAAAACCCGGTGTCTTCAGCTGGTGGCAGCGCCCATGGCCACCTGTCAGTGCAGCCCAGAGCCCGGAGAGCCCTAAGGAACAGGGGGGTTTCTCACTCCCCCTGGCACCAGAAGAGGAAGGATTTGAGGGTCCTCCTTCCAGCCCTTGGCATGGGTCCCCAGGTGAAACCTTGGCTCTGATGGGACAACCGCTGCAGGGACACTCTGCTGGAGGACAAGTTCCTGTGCAACCTGCTTTGGCAGGGGGGTTGGACGAGATGATCTCCAGAGGTCCCTTCCAACCCCATGCGGTTCTGTGGGACTCTGCGTGGAGTCCCCTGTGGTTCTGTGCAGGGATGTTTTGTTTTTATTTCCCTTTTGTAAAAACAAACAAACAAAAAAACCCCAACCAAAACACCACAAAATAAGACAGAGCCGGTATAATACCTTGACACAACTTTTTAGCTATATAAAGAGATGTCTTTCTGTTCAAAATGTTGCGCTATAAATCTTAAAAACGCCCAAACAAAGCCAGGCGTTTGGTTTGGAGAAGACACTTCTTATTACTCGGTGAAAGTAAATAGCGAAATGAAAGGGAATGAAACGAGACCTTTGGAAAAGCTGTTTTCTCCCTTCTCCCTTTTCCTCCCTGCCTCCTCCTCTCCTTCCTCTCCTGCCTCCGTCTCCCCCCCCCTCCTTCCCCATATAACAACTGCCCATTTGGGTACGGTAATTCCAGAGAGTAAACTTTAACGGGAATGCCTGAAATGTGTCTGCTTCAGCTTGGTGTTATGTCTGTAATTTGAATTATTTGCATTTTGGAAAGGTATAAATTGCTCTGGTGTGCTTTGGGTTGGCGGGGGGCCAGGAGGGAGTTGCCTCGGGCCGCGGGCCCAGGCGGGCTGCTGCAGATGTGGCAGGCGTACAATGGAAACTTTTGTGGTGGAGCAGCCCTCGCTCCTCCGGCACACGCGGACGGGAGGCGGCATCCCCCTCGCTCGCCGGGGTCCCCGGGTACGGGGCATTTGGTGGGGGGGCAAAACCCCCCTCTCCACTCCAGGCAGGTCGTCTTGAGGCGTCAGGCTCCCGCAAACCCTCCTGGAGCCATTCTTCCTTTCTCTTTTTTTTTTCTCTTTTTTTTTCTTTTTTTTTTTTTTTTTTTTTTTTTTTTTAAATTTCAGCTGAACTGTATAAACCTGCAAAACATGTTTACTGTAAGAGGTTGACGTAGTGGTCTAAGGTTTCCCTCCTGGAGCTGATCCCAGTCCGTGGGCGTTGAGATTTCCCTCTTGGTTCACCAGACGTAATATGAGGAATTGTCTTCTTTTTTTTTTTTGTCCTTTTTTTTTTTCCTTCTTTTTTTGTCTCTGCTTCATAACAACTTTTCCTCCCTGTGTTTTTGTTAAATGAAATGTCACTAGCTGTTAATGAGTTGTCTATTCCCTGCTTCTTCCCTCTCTTCCCCTTCCCCTTAGTCGCTTTAGCTGCAATGGTCTGGACAGCCTCAAGGGAATTTCTTGGAGCGAAACCCGTATTGTTCTTATTAGCTTCCAAAGACGAGCCACAGCTCTGGATTTTTATTTTCCTAATAGTTTAGATTACAGCGTTTAAAATATTTCTGAACAAACTCTCTTTGTCATCATAAAAATTTCAAAAGCGCATAAAGGCAGTGCTGCGTGAAGTAATTGAAAGATTAGCTAGAGATGGAGTCATTTCGAATTTTACTGAAGTATCGGCAGGAAATAAAAAACAGAAACCTGAATCAGATCATTCGTCTTGCAAAGCAGAAATTAAACATAGCAAAAAAACTGAACTTCTGGTAATCCATTTACAAAGGCAAATTGAACACATGTTAACTACTAGTCTGGACGGCTGTAGATTTAAAAAAAAAAATCACCAGCAAACCCCTTACAAAGCAGAAGTTCCTAGACTTTGCAAAATATGTGACAATGTCAGTGCTGTGTTACTTCTATAGCTGTTTGAATTAATTGGGAGGAGGGAAGAAGGGGCTATGGGGGCTCTATAGGTGGATGGAGGGGGGGGGAGATAAAGGAAGCTGCTCCCAGACAAGGGATGTGTCCCGGCTTGCCAAATTTCGGTCAGTTTTTTTCTACTGACAGCTCAGGGGAAGCATCTGTTGGATAAATTGTGGAGTGATTGCCAGTCCTCCTGAGAAGTCTGCCTGAATTCTGGCGCTCTCAAAAGGCATCGTTAAGGAGACTCGAGCACGGTCTGGCTGCTCCTTCTCTCCCCGCAGCCGAACGTGGCAGTACCAATTAAAGGGATTCCTTTTCCAGCGTCACAATTTAAAAATGTAGGAAGAAACTAAGGGTAGATCTGCTAATTGTTTCCTATAGAACGACCTGCCAAATCCACTGGGCTATTTGTGCTGCGGCTTTCACGTTGCACTTCTTTCCATACGTTGAAAAGAAAGGGATTTTTGGACGTTAAAACAATCGCCAGGGCTAGTCCCTCAGCAGCATTCCTTTCACAGTAGGACAGCTGTACACAAAAATATTATTTACAGACATTTGTAATAAATCAGGCAGTTCTAAATGCGTCACCTCCATCCTGGCCATGAAAGTGAAGAGAGAAGAAAAAGTGCATTCACTCTTTTACCTTGCCGAGAGCTGTTTTTCTAAGGCAGGCCCACGTCTATGTGATGAAGTTCAAAATAGCTAATATTTGCATTTGCATGTCCCGATGCCACAATAAATACACAAAAGAGATGACATAAAGTCTCAATTTCCCTTTCATTCTGGTGACGTCTGACAATGGGGGGACTCATGAAGCTGCATGTGTCCCCCCTGCCCAGCTTAGACAGCAGTCTGCTCGTGGCCTTTCCTACACGTTTGTGTTTTTTTAGGCCTGCAGGATGGAAACCTTACGCTTTGCATTCTTATTCTCGTTTCTTTGCTGTTGAGTTTTGAAGCCGCAAGGAAGAAGAAAAGCCCTGTTACTGACCAGGGACTTCTGTATCAGTGAGGCGCAGGAAAAATGACCAGACAAAACCAATTCCTTCCAAAAGCGGGTCCTCAGAAAAAAGCGATAGCTGTGGCTTAAATCTATGTTTGGTTGAAAATAGAAATACAGGAAGTTAGGAGGACCCAACACACCTCTAGAAGCAGCTCCAGAAAACTGTAGGTGGGTCCAATGTAGCTGAGCTCAACCAACTTTAAAATGGAGTCAAAAGCTACGTTTCCCAGCCTATCAAAAGGCCATGCCTTTTGATCCAAGCAGCAGAATTATGACAAGCCAGACTTAGAACTATATTAAAATGAAACGCCGTGTGGCTGAGGAGCTTCCTTAATACTACTTGGTTTGGTTTCTTTAATATTAATGTTGAATATGACTTTCTGTGTAGGCAGTAATCAAAAGGCCTCGTAGGTAGCAACACTTTTGTCTGGAAGTTTGGGAAGCTTTTGTAGAATAGTTGCATATTTTGTCCAAACGAGTGGCAGAATAAACTCCTGCTGGCTTTACCCCATCGTGGTATCATGGGCTCTGGATTGTGGTTCCCCCTTCAAAAAAGCTAAATGGGCTCCCGTTGCGGGCTGCCCAGATGGCCTCCTGGTTGGGCAATGCTTGGTCAATGCATTTTGAGAGCTGGTTTTCATATATGCAGTGCCCCTTCAAAGAGATTTTTTTGGAAAAGTCATTCTTTTGTAGGCTTGGGAGGGGAAAAAAGGACGGAACTAGATATCTTTTTCTTTTGTCTTTTAGATGGTCACCATGTGTGGGAAATGGAAGCCAAAACCGACAAAGAAATGTGCAAGCCAGTAAGTCTGCCTTAAATATTTTAACATCAAGATGAAAAATATATATTGCCTTCTCCAGCACTGTTACTAAAGAGGGATTTCCAAGGCTTTGGCACTGTGTCTCCCCACTGAAACAGAACAAGTACTTAGGCCTCCCCTCCTGGAAATCTTTCTTTAATAGGAGCGTGGGGTAAAAAGCCTTCGCTGGAAGCCATCCCGAAAGTAGGAGAGACCATTTGGAAAATATTTTTTCATTGTCTGGGATGGGCCAGCCCCGTCTGCTCATCTTCTGTCTTGCTGGGTCAGTTCTTCCCTCTGCTCCCAAAGTAATTTCTGATCATTTTCCTTGGCTTTCATTTACCCTTGGCAGAAGAAATGTGAGTCCCCTCACAGGAGATCAGCCTCATGGTTGGAGAAGAGTGGCTCCCTCAGCCATGACTATAAGTGGGAAATATGGCCACTATTTCACCTCTGCAGGAATATGCAACAGTTTGGTAGCTGCAAACCTGCTGGAGACATGCAGGCAAACAATTTAAAGCCCTTCAGCTGAATGCAGGCCAAATGCTAAGACGAGCGTTCCCTTTTATTCTTTCAAAAAGTGCCAAGGGAGGTTTTGATGGCCATAGCAGATTTCACTGTGCATTTGTGTAAGCTGATGCCCCAGCAGCTAAGTCATTCCTTAGCCCTGTGCTGGAGCATTTGGTTTCTGACAGTGGAAGATCATCTAGATGCTCTCCAGCCCTTCTTCCTGTAGCGAGATCTCCCATCCACAGAAACTAGCAAGCTTAAAACTTCCTAAGTTGTTGTATGAGAAAACATTTCACTGGGGAAAATGGAAATATTTGAATAATCACATGCCTGTCCTAACTCTGCTTTCAAAGGAATTTGGGTAAGGGTGAGATATGCTGGCGATGACCCGCCAGCCAAGCCATTGTGCTTTCTTCTGCTGAGTTGGAGACCACGATTTGATTGTGGTCCCTGATTCTTTTCAGAGGCGGGAGGGATAGAGCAGTGTCCATACGTGGTATCACATCCAAGGGGAAGAGGTGAAGGCTAGCATGGTTTGTGAGCCATGCTAAAATCTTATTTCCCTACTTCTGGAGTCCTTGGCACAGAGGACTCTGAGGGCGGCGGGAGGCCATCCCTGCCCACAAAACCCACCAGTTCCCCTGCAGAGTGTGTTCCTCCTTGTGAGCCCAGGCGCCTCCTTCTCGGGGTTAACATGTGAATACTATTGTACAGCTCGACTGCCTTCGTCGTGCCTTGACTTTCTGATTTGTTGCTTTTGCAGAATTCGTTGGTGGTTGAGATACCACCTTTCCGCAATCAGAGAATTACCAGCCCCGTTCAGGTCAACTTCTATGTCTGCAATGGAAAGAGAAAGAGAAGCCAGTACCAGCTTTTCACCTATCTTCCTGCTAATGGTAACAAAATATATTCCTTATCTCTGCTAGTAAAAATGAGAGATAATGATGATTACTTAGAAAGATACATGGCTCTGACAATTCTTTAATAACCTGAGTAATTTGGAGGTATACCTGGTGCTATAAAGTAAAAGTGAGAATCAAGCCATGAGAGCTGCCTCTCTCTGCTGCCCACACAAGAGACCGTCTCTGCAGATTGTATTCTTTTGTATAGGTGGCAGATAACTGTTGGAAGAAGGACTTTTTCTGCTTTTGGGAGCTGAAGAGCCCCAGCACAAACTCACACGTGTAGCCACAAATGGTGAACGTGCTGAGCTCTCTGCTAAGTTGCTGTCAACCCTTGGTCTGACTTTGTGGCCCCAGAGGATACGTTGCATTTGAATAATACTTTCTGAATTTGCACCACAGCACTGTTGAATAATACTTTCTGAATTTGCACCAGAGCACTGTAAGCTCTGAGCTGGAGGTCGTGTGGGGATTCTCCTCCCAGTCATCCTGCACCTCGCTGTCTTGTGTGGTGTGAAAATAGCGCTCCAGGCTGACTCAGCTCTTGGGTGGCAGTGAAAAGCACGATGTGGAATGGAGATCAGAGTGCTGTAAGAAATGTTCAGAAACACGTGTCCCCGTTTATTTTGGAAGCTTGTATTGGTGGCTGTGAAGTGACAATGAAGTACTCACGCTAGGTGAATTCCAAGTAGGCTTGTATGAAGATTTTAATAGCAAGTAAATTTAGATTTATTTTTTAATTTTATTTGAAATGGCTCTTTTTCACTTTTTTGGGAAAAGAAGGAAAAAAAAAAAAGGATGATTGTGATGGTGGTGGTGGTGTTGTTTTCGAAGGAAGAGGAATTAGAAAAATGATGAGGTTCATGCTCTTTTGTAGACTTTCCAAATGAAAATAGTCCTTTTGAGGGAAATTCCCACAAAGCAACACTTGAACCATGTCATGTGACTTGAAGAGGCCTGCCAACTTTTTGCAGGTGAAATCCCATAAAATACACATTTGGAATTTCACCTAGTTAGCTTACATGCACTCCAGACTTTTATCGGGACTTTAATTTAAAATAAAAGTACAGGAAACCGGACATGGGCAGCTGACTGCTTATTGCGTATGTGCTGCATAGCCACGCTTCACTGAATCAGCCCACTTATGCAAACTTCATCCCCAGTGGGTATGTCTGTGTGTATTTAAAGACTGTTCATCTCTTAAATTGGAAAGAAAGGGAGTTGTTATTCTCTTGCACAATGTTTCAGCAACAAAAATCTGTTCTAGAGGCCAACAGGTATTGCCTTGCCATGCAAGTTACCCTCATGAGTATTTCACATGCGTGCCTGTTGGTAACTGCTGTCAATTAAACAGCATCTCCAGCCTTTACATAGGCAATTTTTTACCATTTTATTCTAAACCATGGGAATAGCATTTGCTGCTACAGAGTTGGTTTATGCTACCACCATTCTGAGTTTGAAACATTTTATTTTTCATTTGATGTGAAGTGATGGGAATAGCTACCTAGTGAGACAGGCAAGAGAGAACCAGCCGAGGCTTTATTCTGCGAACACATCTTTAATTATGGTAATTGTTGAAAACACTGGGAATCTTGTTTAGTCTGCTGTGCTGATTTAAATTCCTGTGAAATCTTTTTCTTTCAGTGTAGGGAAACCTGAAAGAAAAAATGCAACACCAGAGTAGGGGAAAGGGAAGCAGGTATTGAATAGTAAATATACCTTCCCCCATTCCTGTTTACTTCTCCGCTCACGTTCTCTTAATATATATGTATATGTGCATATAGGTAATTGAAAAACATCTTATGTTCTTTGCAAACTCTCTCATAACAGTGGTAAGACTGAATGTGCTTCTGCTATCATGGCAATTAATAGTTTAGTATGTTTTTAATATGCCTGTGTTGCAGCTGTAAGGTTTCGGCCTTATGTTGCTGGTGGTTGTTTCCATTGTGCCTTTCAAAAGTAGATGTGATCACCTTGACTACGTATTCAGAAACCATGCACAATGACTGAATCAGTCATTTACACTTGCTGTATTTTGAGGAGTCATTTTAGGACGTTCTGCTTTACTTCATTTCAGTCACAACATTATTTTAATATTTTCAAGACATTGTAGAAAACCAAAGTTCAGCTCGTGAAGAAAAAAATAGTTGAATCAATAACCATTGTGTGATCGGTGTGAAAAAGTGTGAAGGAAATAAGCATTGTTTTGGTCCAGGTAACACCTTGTCTCTTGCTTAAAAAAATCTCATGAACGTAGAAGTTGTAGTTTTTTGACAAGCAAATGTCAAAATGATCATCAAGTGTAAGATGTGGTTTTACCCAAATCAGATGGTATCCTGTACACTTCTTCTGTGCTTTAGGACTAGTCAAAATGCAAACATTTTCGGTGCTTACCATCGTTTTGCAGGTATTTCTGTATGAGGCGTCTTTGAGAAGCTGTGTGACGCACGTTAGAAGTACATTTCACAGCTCAACTGGACTGTGCCAAAGAAAAATAGCATAAATGGACTAGAGCCTAAATAGTGTGTGAGCCCGCTGGCCCTGCTCCTGGGGTGGGTGTGGGCACACAGAGACGCTGCAACCAGCAGGAGAGCCTTGGGCTCACTGTACGGTTCCCACCCCGACCACAGAGCAATAGGGTGTGTTTTTTTTTTTCCCTGTAGCTCCTGTTTCTCCTCATTCCCTAGGGGAAAACAGCCAGTGGATCCAGGGACACATGGCCTCACTCGTCCCACCTCCCGTGGATGGTCCCATAGCATCTCCATGGAGTACAGCTCTGTGATGTGCTGCCTTCTTCAGCAGAACGTTACGGTTTCACCTCCATAAGGCTTCTCCCGTCCTGCGGAGATATGGCAGGATTGTACTTTTTCCTCTGTGTTAGCTGAAGTGTTTTGCAGAGCAGGGACTTGGTGAAGATGAGTTCCAGCCTGAGAAAGAAAGAAAGAAAATTAAAGAATTATGTAAAAATGAAAATCTTACTGCTTTGTAAATGAAAAGTTTAAATAGCAAAACAAAACAGAAAGTAGAGACTTCACAAATGAGAGCCAAGGTCCAGAGAATGAGCTTGCTTAAGTCTTTGGCTTGGGACAGACTGCAAACCTAAGTACTCATAATCCACTTTTAATTGAAATTTTGATTTACTGTTCTGCTGAATTTGAGCAATCCCCGAATTCTGTATTAGCCCATATTGTACAGAAGTGACTGTAATGTCATATTATCTTTTTTTTAAGTATTGCTTCAATATTATGCATTGCTGAGCAATTACGTATCAGTTTTTCAGTTTTGTCCTGGAGCTTGCAGGCTGTAGGCTCTTGAGACTCCTCCTCAGACATGCCTGTCACAGAAATATAAGTAGTTTCTATACCATTCTGGCACAGGTGAATTCCCGCAGCTCATATGGTAAGTACTAATACATTTTGCATTGCCCCATCCCACCAGAATGTGAGGAGGAAGGCACAGGACTGGATGCTGCAGTTCAGGAGTCTGAGCAAAGCACGATGAGCAGATGCTTGGATATCCAGCTTTTAAAGTCTCTCCACTGCTGCAGCTCCGTGCAGACGTGCTCTGCCGCTCCCTTATGCGCAGCAGAACATTTTGGAACACCATCACATTTGTGAACCCTACCTCTAGAAAAACACTTGGTTTTCTTTTCTCTTTATGGCTGCGTATCAGTTTGCTTCTGTGAATTTATTATACCCTTGCCCCATATATGCGTTTCAAACAGGGGGAGTCCGTTTGAAGTTCTGAAATCACTATAGGTAAGCGGTAGCATTTGAGATATAAACTGATGTGGAGAGGCTGAAGAAGCACGCAAGCAATCAGATATGTGTGCTGCGGTTCCAGATTCTGTGCTTTCATCTGCTAAGTAAGCTGAAGGAGTTCTCCAACTCAGAAGACATTAAGCAACACACTGAATGATAAGAGTTAGATCTCTGTTTATTCAGAGTTCTTTTAAGTAGGTACATCAAAATAGAGGAAATGTGTTCAAGAACTTATTTTTTGCAGATAGGAGTGAATGCTTTCTATGATTTCTGTTATCTAATGAATATTGATATCAGGAACGGTGAACGTAGAAAAGTTTTTCTTTGAATTTTGTTTAGAGAAGTAGTGATATTGACTAAGCAAAGACCAGGCTAGTTTGTCTAGGAAGTATTTACAAAGATGGGAAAAGGAAAGTTGATGTGTTTCTTTCAGTGGAATGAAAAAATACGCTTTTGCAGAGTTGATGATAAAGTATTTCCGGTTTCTGTTTCTGTCAGGCTTCTTAATTGTCAAAGCATTATTAAAAAAAAATCGTTTCACTACTTCGTTATTAAAATGGTGTTGATAGCTGAGTAACTTTATTATTTTGGGATGTGTTTTGCCACCCGCAGGGTCAGGTTTCCAAGTGTGCAGGCTCCATCCATGCTGCAGTTCCTTCGCCTCCCCCAGGGTACCAGCACCGGCCCCCGGGGTGCCCAGACTCTCTGAAAACCCACAAACGAGTGACTTGGTGGGGGACAGATGTCCCTTGAATCCGTGGGTGCTTAGCTGTGCTGGGAGCCCGTCTGTGGTGACGAGGGGCACGGAGCTAGTGGGTGTCCTCCTGGGGAAAGGCGAGGGGTGCCCATGGCGGGCATCCTCCTCGCTTCCTGCCCCCGTGCTAAAATTATCCCCGGCCTGCCCTTGCGTTCGGGTCCTGTGGTGACGAGGGGCACGGAGCTGGTGGGTGTCCTCCTGGGGAAGGGCGAGGGGGTGCCCATGGCGGGCATCCTCCTCGTTTCCTGCCCCCGTGCTAAAATTATCCCCGGCCTGCCCTTGCGTTCGGGTGCGATCAGCAGTTTTCTAGTGACTGCACCGAGCAGCCCTGCCTCCGCTTCGCCTCGGCTCTTCCGCCCCCAGCTCGCTTTCTAACTCGGGAGGTGACACGGGCCGCCTTGGCAGTGAAACAGTAAGAGGAGGAGACTCAAAAGCGTTGCCCCTCTGGTGGTGCTGCCACGCACGGCTTGCGCCGG